TAGATAACCAAAAGTTGTACGTGTGGCTAGTTGTACCCTCATTGTAACTGAAACTTAACTTCTAATAAAAAGTTATGACCAAAGAGATCACCTTAATACTGAAAAAAAAAAAAAATACAATAAATAAAAAAATATAAAGATAAATTTTTTATTTTTATTTGATGATATCAAGATAAACTTTGGCTTTACTTAAGGATAGGGTGTTCTGACAAAACTTATGAGATTTGGGATTTGTCCACAAACAAACCTGGACAAATAGAATTATCCGGCCAAGTCTAAAAATCCCATGTAGCAAAAATGGTCAAATCCCAAATCCCATCTCAATCCCAAATCTCATATACAGTCATGTTATGAATAAAATAAACTGAATATGAGTGCTGCCAAGACAAAACCTGTTATTGGCATACTTGCCGGCAAACACCAAACTCCAAAAAAAAAAAAAAATTAAACAAGTTATTTATCATAATATTTTGCAAATATATCTATAACTATAAGAATATATACTATTTGTTTAAACAAAAATTATTAATAAAGTTTTTGAGATATTAACTTTGAGATTTGGGCATGACTAATTCAAACTATAGTGATTTAGGATTTGGGCATCAAGTATAGTTATTGGGCTTTCAATTATATTTTGTATTAGACTTATTCTCTAATAAATTAATAGCATTTGTCTAGTACAAGATATAATTGAATGCCCGATGACAGGTTTTCCCTAGTAGCATATGGATCTATAGTCAAATAAATATTTTTATTACAAGCAGTAAAGATTTAAATTTTATATCAGTTAAGAATAATAAGTAGAAACCATTTTTTTTTTCAAACTATCCAGTTCATTATAAAGTAATACAAACTTGAAATTGAATGTATCATTATTATTTAGAAAGTATAAAGTAAATTTACAAATTTTCTTTATTATAATCAGTTTGGCATTTAAAAAAAAGCTTCATGAAATGTGGATTTATTGATTGGGTGCTGTATGAAAAGGTGCTTTTGATGGACAGAAGGCAGTATAATTTAACTTACTAGTATTTATTTTAAGTTACGAAAATAAAATTTATTAAATATATGTTGTGTATCATTTATTGATCCCAACTTATACATACTGGCAAACCTGATCAAATCACAAATTCATCAAACAAGTAATCTTGAAATTTTGCAAATATATAAGAATATATATTATTTGTTTAAACAAAGATTATTAATTTAAAATTTAATGTATGATATATATATATTATATATAATCTTCTACTTAATTTTAATATATTATATTTATATATTCTCAGCGAGAACCAAAATTCATATTGAAACTATAATTTCAACAAACTTTCCAATTTTGGCAAATAATTGTAAGATAAATATATTACGCATGTGATGATCTATTTTTGCTTTAGAATTGTGTGAAATTTTTTAATTCGTTTGTTTCTGAGTTAAAAAAAACTTCTAAAAAAGTTTCGAACTACTATAAGGATTTGTCAACAAACTCCTTAATTTCAATAGTGCCGCGTGAAATTTTACTTCGTTAAGGCATTGCACAAACTTCAATGGATAAACAACATAAGGAGTCAGTTAATAGACCTGATAATTTGACGGAATCGCATATAAGATAAACTTTTCAGGTTTCAGTTCAATTAGTTTTACATAATATCTAATACTGATTAATGTGTATGAGATGGCTTTACGTGTGTGCAATGATCTATTTCAATAATGTCACATAAAGTTTTACTTTGTCAAGATAATTACACAAATTCAAAGAGGAATTAAGGGGTCAGTCAATAGATTCTAAAGATAAATTTTTCATTCGTGTTCAGTTAAAATATTATTATAAGCTAATCACAATCATAGAGAAAACCTATTGCCGAGACCAGTCAATAAACTTTTTAATTTGTGATATTTTACTTCGCAAAGGTAATGCATAAACTTCAATAGATGAACTGCACGACAGTCAGTCAATAGTTTTGATGGAATCTCATGTAAAATAAACTTTTCAGGCTTTAGAATCGCATGTTTCAATTGTTCACACAATGCTCTAAAAAAAAGATCGAAAATTCGAACTGTCAATAGGTGTCATGACAATTACCTAAGAAATTATCTCTTTAGAATTATGCAATATCGATGTTAAATAAATTTTTATACAATATGAACCAGTTTTTAAGCTGCTCTTATTGTAATTCTGACATTATAAAAATTTCTAATTTTAAGTTTAAATTATGTAATATAAGCTATAATGATAATGATAGAAATTACATGATTTTCATAAAATTTACTTTATCAATACATATATATAAACCGGGTTTTAAAAGAATAACATGCTCAATTGTACGTACTCAACTTATTATTAATCAGTAACATACTATATATTTTAGTATTAAAACTAAAAAGCCTGTTTTAATACAAACCTGACATTAATATAAAAGTACTCTAATTAAAGTTTAGTTAATTTTACATGTTCAACGTTTGTTAATGTAGTTTACATATTCTTTATTAGTAGAATATATAAAACATTACGTCCTCAAAAAGTACTTTAAACTATATAAAGTAGTTACATAAACAATCATAGAACTTTTTGATAAAATACGTATTATGCTATGAAAAAGGGTTTGATGTGTTAAAAATGAGAAAAAAGCTTTAGAACATAAGAAGACCGCTGCAAGGCTGGCAACATTGCTGCTAAAAAATGAACTGAAAAAATGAATATAAGATGGGATTAACAAAGATATGACCCAAGGGAACATGAAAATAATGATTATTCAAACTATTAATTATACTTTCGTAATCTTATATCTGATATCGATATGGACTGTGAATTAAATTCTATTTATGATAAAATTAAGATAATTAAAGTTTGAGTTGATTTCCGATATAATGAAAAAATTCCAAATATATAAAAACCATTAGCTAGTTACTATTATATAATATCTAATATTTAATTAAACTTTTTTGACATTGTTTATTAGCAATTCTCTTTATTTATTTTTTTAGTTTTCAGTGGTATCCATACTAGTTAGTACAAATTTTCGTTTACTGTATTTTCTTTTTCGACAATTTTATTTTTTTGTTGAATCATTATTTCGATAACACAATTGTTCAGGTATCATAGAAGCTAATCTATTTCTCCAAATATTATTTCTTGCAACCTTTTTTTTTATGCGTATATATATTCTTTTACGTTTTTCCATTTACTCGATTCAATAAATTACTAAGCGATGTATTCATTCAATGCATAAATTACTAACGAATTTCTGATTAATTAAATTTCTACATGGGATATTAAAATCGATATTTATCATAATTACAGGGGTGGAAGTATGACATCGACCAAATTTAGAAGAGTAAGGAATCCTCTTCAGCCCAATAACTATTTTCCTTTCTTTCATTCTTTAATTTTTTTTTATACAGGTTCTCATTTTCACTTTCTAATTCTTCTTCAATTTCTTTTTATTGCTTCTTCGACAATAGACGGATCATTGTGTGACCAATCCTTATTGAATCTCCACACTTTAACACTTTTGATCATTTTGTTCGCCACCTCCGCTTCAAAAATAAACCGATCATACGAAGCCTTTGACCCAACCATAGTATTTTCACCGTGATTAATGCCCCATACTAACTTATTTTGTTGCAATAATCTGTCAACTTCTATACATTCATCTTCCCTAAGATAGGTTCCTGATGCATTAAAATCTCCCATCATAATTATAGGTTCATCGAAAACTTTTTTTCTGGATTCTTTCCTCTCGGAAACAAATTTAGAGAAATTGAAATCGTACATATTAAGATTATCAAATGCATACATTAAATCATCCATAGAAAATAGTTCTTTACTCTTAGTTCGTTCATTTGCCAATTTCATCACCTCATCTTTTACAAAAGGATAGACATCAGTTACCAATGCTCGTACTTCATCATACGCGTTTTTGGGTTTTGTATGACACCCAACAAGAGTAATCCTCACTTCAGAACGTCTTCGATGCTGAAAATGAGCAACATAAGGATTCCTCATAAATTTGACACCCAACTTCTCCTCATTAATTATGTAAGCTTTGTCCAATCGCCAAACTTTCTCCTTATAAATGTATAAATACCTTTCATTATATGTACCCCTACCAACAGGTTGAGATAAAGCGTATGTGCATGGCGTAGAGGAAGTTGAAATCGATTCGACTAGTTCTTTAATAAATTCAACTTTATTCTTGAGAATCTCAAGAATAATATACAATAAAAAAATTGAACATCATTTCAATTCTAATTGATTTTATTTATGAATATTAAAAAATGAAAAATCAAATTTATTTACTAATTCAAAATTATACTTGACACAATTACGTGAAAAATTTTTAATAAATAAAGAGGCGAAGGTTCCAGATCGTTATTCGTCTAATAATTTGAAAAGGTATAAATAATAAAACTACTTCAACTGCGGACTGCCCCTCAATTATTATTTCTCAAGAATAATACATTAAACAAAATTAATCCTCATTTCAATTTTTTGATTTTTATTAAATAAACAATAATACGTACAATACAAAATTTGGTTTGGTTTGTAATTATAAATGTAAAAAATATTTTTGCACAAAAATTTGCAATTTTTAATTTCTCGGTATTTTGTTATTACTGTTATGAAGTAAAAAATTTTACTACTTTGCTTAAATCTATTTAAATTTTCTTATATACTTACTCAATTTGAAACTTCTAGAACTATTTTTATTTTATACATACTATTGGCCAACGTTATTCATATGACCAAAATTACATTTAGATTTCAGTAATGGTAGTTTGCCAACTCTAATTTTAAGCAAATTAAGTATAATTTGGGAGATAATAAACATAAATTCAGCCAAATTAAAATATATTGTTAAATAGAATTTCAAGCAAAATTAAGTATGATTCTGGCAAAACAATTCCAAGCTATGTATAAGGAATAAATTTCAAAATTAAGTATAATTTCAAGAAATAATTTCAAGCAAAAATTAGTATAATCCTAGACAAAAGTAAAATACAAGATAACTGGCAAAAAATAGTGCTCTTGTATAAAAATTTTTGATAAAAAAGTCTTTCACTAACAAAATCGTATATAGTTGGGCGTATTTGAAGAATAACAAAAAAGTTTTTTACTACACTGCAAGCAAAATTAAGTTGCTTCGAATTATAGAGTTTTATTTTATCACAGAAATTAATCAATAATTGTGGGGGATTATGGTGAAAATGGATTATGCTGAAAATTAGGGGTCTCGATTTAAAAATAGCATCACATGGTTTCGTCTAACACCTATAATGGGAACTACAAAAAAGAAAAAATTTATAAGTTCATCATAATCGTCAATGCAACCTATTCACTACAGGCTTCCGCGCGAAGCTAGATCGAGCTTTTCGAATTAAACATACGTTCACAGGTATTCCTGTGGTCACGATGTGCTTCCAGTTCTCCGGTATAACCCTAGTGGCAGCGTAATTTAAGATACATAACGATAACGACTAGAATTCACTTAGTGATGTCTCACCTCAAAAATTGAGATTAAATCCTAACCGTAAACGAGTGTCCATTTTTATGACATTGAAAATGTGATAATTGATTTAACAAAATTTTATAAGTGAGAGCGAAAGTGTATACATAGTGAGAACCTAAACTACAATAATAGTAATCTATGTAAAGAGCAACCTAGTCTCATTTTGTTTGTATTTTCAAACCAGCCACTAATATGTGCCAAATACATCTGCTTTTTTTAAATAACAAATTATACATGTATAATTGAAAAAAAAGGTTTCATCCATTTAACAAGGTAGCCCATGAGTGAGCGGGATATTCTTAGAGGGAGGGATCAGAAAGGTCCATTGTTTGAAGTAATTTGATGCTTCTTCTTTAATTTCTTTTGGGTTTGTTATGATTTGGGGAGAGGCCTTTGCCTTTGGTCGAAAAAGATGAACCTGAGAGTTCAATTATTTTATTTATTGTTGTTAGGCATACCCTATCAAGACCAACGTTGAGGATATAAGAGAGCAATTCCTCTATCCGATAAGAGGATCAAATCTTCAGCACCTTTGGTTGCCCAGAAACATATATAAAAAGATATGCAATAGGATACCCAGCACCGTCAACTTCTCCAATTTATTGCTACATGAAACTCCCAATTAATAGAGTTACCATTGCAACTATATAATGCTCTTGAATGCCTGAAAACAATCGGGTAAGCTATTATTATATAATTCTAATTTTATTACACGGCTTCTAATTGTTCACCCATGACCTTTTTTACTGATATTCTCACGGTTTATATTAGTCCGCCGTGAAAATATTAACCGTGAGAATATCAGCAAAAAATAATCATGGGTGAAAATTAGGATCCGTGTAATAAAACAGTTATTACACGTATTTGTCGTCGATATCATTAAAATCCCGAATCAATCTCGATATCATTCATAATTGCGGCTGCGCCGCAATGATGAATGATATCGAGATTGATCCGTGATGTTTAATGATATCTATGATAAAACGTGAAATAACTATTGCATACTAAACAATAATTCAATTTAATTACCTCTTCAGTTTTTATACTGGATCAACAATAAATATCACACATGTTACACGCAACATGTCTAGATGGCTTCTTTTAATACCACCACTCCTTTAGAACTAAAAATTATTATTTTGAAGTTCTAAATTCGTAATAGTATTGCTTCTACTACGTATTGTCTTTTTTCCATTTATCATTTTGTAAATTTAGTTCGTTAGAAAATCATTCCAAATGTTAGTTGTTCATCCATGTTACTAATCAATCGATAAATCTTCTTTTTTAATATTTAATAAATATTTTATCGGTGGTGATAGTCCCATCTTGTAAATAACTATCTAAGCATATTGTAAAAATTTCTTAAACTTAATAATGATCTAGATGTATTAGATTGGTGAATGAAAGTTTGCTAGTACAAGCACGAAAAAGTAAATTCAAGAAAGTGTTATATTAAAAGTTGTGTACGACGACAGTAACGTTAGATTATTGGTTAAGAAAAAACGAAAGAATTATATTTAATGTCGTGGATCATATTAAATGAAGTTTGATTGACCTATTTATATTTGTATTTTTCGGTGGCTTGCCTATTTTACTATCTTTATATAAAATTTCCTTTATCCCGATTTCTCATATTTAACATATACTATATCATTGCTAGAAGCCTGCTGTGCGGCCGGCAAAAAAATAATAATAATAATAATTTTATCAGACTCTTAATCATACTCTTACCAGTATTTTTCTTGAGAAAAATCATTTAGAAAACACTCATCTTACACGATCTCAATTAGAGAAAAAGAGAACGTGGTAAAATTTTAGAATTCAACCATATACGTTAATAGAACATTGATCGATTAATATAACATAAACATGTTCAAGTCATTTTACTGCACCCCTAAGTATACATTGTAACGCTAAGTTTTTATGCTATAAAATATCGTCATTGATTGTGATGCTTGAGCGTTATCATGATCATTATTTACTTTGAATTGACACAAATAGATTTAAATACAAAATTCTTGATATGTGAGCCTAATATGTCAATAACATAGTGAAAAGTATAATAAATTTTATTTTGCGGACCGTACGAGCTGGCAAAAGTACAAATTTTTAAGCCCGTGCAGGAATAACATGATAAATTCCAGACACAATGTTACGCGTTGTTTGTATAAAATGTGTGACGCCAAGGAAAAACCAGATTTTGGGCTTTTAATTTTATAATTTACCGGACTTAATTATGCAGACTGGTCTTCCCTTGGCGTCATTGAATGCGGTCGCATTAGTTAATGCAAATATAATTGTGTAACTAGCTTGTAAGAATTTGAAAATCTTTCTCTGTAAATTCTGATTCCTCCGATACGAGGCACGTTAGCTATAAAATTATGTATCTGGTATATACTGAACGTACAGTACGTATTACCTATATACTAACTGTACTGCATAGTTTTAATAATTCATTATTTTATTTTTTACTAAATAAATTCGGAAGCAACTTTAGGTAACTTAAAATTTTTTAAAATGGATTTAAAATTTCATTTCAAACTTTTAAGTATATTTAGAGTCTACATAAGTGACTTATGTATACTAGAGCTCTTATCTGGGTCGGGTTGACCAGTACGGGTCAGCTTCTTGACAGGTCACGGGTCAAAAATTGTCCCAACCCGGATTAAAAAGGTCATGGATAAAATTCATGGCATGGATACGTAATATAGATAAAATTCTCAGGCTACTCTGCAGAGTAACTATTAAAACAAAACCTACCCCAATGTATGTTATTTCGGATTAAATTTTACAGTATATATACTTTAAAATATATATTCTGATATCTAGAACAACTTCTAATGCTATAATATTGATTATCTTATCAAATTTTTTATCTTTAATACAACATTTGGTTATATTTTTTAATCCGGAATAATTTTAATTAGTGATACAAATCGAAAATCGAAAAATCGATTAGTTGGCTTAGTTGACAACTAATCGATTGAAAAATTTTTGTCAACTTATATTAAAATCGAATAAAAATCGAATAATCGTTTAGTTGACAACTAATCGATTGCAAAATTTTTGACGATTTGTATCACTAGTTTTAATAGTAGTTCTGAAGTATAAATTACATTATTTAACTTCTATAGCAATCTGTAGTACTCCATCAAAAAAAAAGCCTTAGGTCAATCCACCTAGTATCGCCACCAAATCAAATACGTAACGTTGCTTAAATTTGATCTAAGATTGTGTATTATTTTTAACATGAAATTTACAAAATCAAAAAAGAAATAATTCAAGATTTATTTATTTATTTATTCGAATAATTAAAAGAGCTTATTTCAGTTATGATTCTAATTACATCAAAAATTATAAAACTTTTTTCTTTAACGCTTTTTTGACGAGCGAATCCGGACTCGATGTCATGTTTATACAGTATTCACGTTCAAATATTCAAATTATATTTACATCCAAGTTCGATTTTTTAAAGACAAATTTGAATTCAATATCCAGTTCAAATCTTTACCGTTAATATCTATTATATTAAAAAAAAAAAAAAAAGGAAAAAAAATTAGTAAATACTGAAATAGAATATTAAACTAGCCAGATACTATGTTGCCTATTACGAAAAATTCCAAGTTCCGACTCGACACATCCAAAAAGCCAGTAACAGCACTCTGATTCCTACTCACTTACCAAAGATCTAGTAGAGGTGAAACCTACTTAGACACTCTTATCAAGCCAGCACGAAGCTGTTAATAGCGAACTAGACCCTTATCAAGCCATATATCACTAATAGTTGACTAGACACTTTCTAGAAGCCAGTACAGACAAACTTGGATCCCTGTAATAAGCCAAGGTTGCTCTATTAAGGAAAGTGCATACCTTATATTCTTTTTAAGTACCTCTATTAAAGACACAATGTCTTTATCATTAATATTATTGTACCAAAGGTTCAGGTCAGTGAGGGATGTGTTTGTGTAAGAACTCCGCCAATTTTATTATACCTTCTGACCGATTTTATTTTTTTGAAGGTCTAATGATGTTATCGTGTTATTGGCAGAGAAAGCGCCTGCAATTACACTTCCTTTTAAAGGCTCTGTTTGGTTAAACCCTAGTTTTAAAGAGGCTAAAGTAATGTTATTACCTTCCATTTCCAAAATGTTCACAAACATAATACTAACCTTGTTGGCATATTTAACAATACTGAGTTATCTCAAATAAAAAAAGGTTTTTTGAAAAAAAACTTAACATTAAAAAACTAAGAATATTATTCGTGTAAACAAGATAGAACGCAAGGCACCAGTAAAGGATCAAGTATCGCAAGTATCGCATAAATCACATGGATTTTAACCAATCATATTTCAACATATCGGAATTGGTTTTTTAAAACTAACCCTAAACAGTGTTGTTAATTTAACCGAGTAAATTATAAATAACTAGTGTTTGTAGTCGATTTCGCATAGTCGATTTTTATCGACTTAGCCGGCTTAGTCAGCCGATTTTCCAAAAAATC